GAAGAGCATGTTGAAGAGGAAGTGCAAAATCTTCCTCTTCCACGTGAAGATAATTTAGAAACCATTTAATTTTGAAAGTGAAAGTAAACCTTCAGTTGAACTTCTCCAGTGAGAGAGCTCCTCTGCTCAGCTACTAACAGAGTTTGCACGGTATGCATGTGTAGTTTGGGATCCTGGTCCTTGCTGGTGTCTACTGGTCAATAGGGGAGTTGACTGGATGTCTGTGGGATTCTGAGACAGAAGGAGAAACTTAAAGTCTCTGAAGAGAATTCATGTATTCTCAAAGATCACCAGATTTGACTCGTTTGACCTGTTTGAAGGCAGGGACAACCCGCAGTGGGTGGACTGGCTTCCTCTATCTGTCCAGTGTAACTGTGGGCGGATGGCTTGTGAGGTTTAGAGGCTGCTGGCCTTTCAGGCAGAATATGGCTTCAAAACCAGCAAAGTGTGGCATCAGAATCTGGGCTTTATTTTATGGAATGTGTAAATATATACAGAGCAGCTGGGAGGAGGAGCTGCTGAAAGAAACCAGGGGACACGAGTGGTGCTAGATATGTCATACAACCTGGGACAGTGGCACCTCAAAACAAGGCCGACGACGGCTGGAACACATATTAATGTCAGTGAACAGGACGTCTCAGTTCATTTTTTTTACCAAGATATGCTTCAGTATAGCGGATTTTTAGCATCAATTACAACCTTGTGACAAAAAACAGTTGTGTTGTTAATTCTGGTTGCAATCAATAAACATATATGTTTTCTCTGCAGTTTGAAATTGAGCTGAAGACGATATATGTTAATGGTTCCAGGTCAAACTGACCTGAGGGATACCAGTTTGATAAGCGATTAATAAAATGGATCGCTGATGTACAGTAACAGAGTGTGATTCTTGATATCTTCATCTTTGTCCACTCACAGCCCTCTAACGTCTTCACAGCTGGACATAGTTCAGCTCCGTCCTACTTACATAAAAAGATTTGTCACATTTTTTCCCAGAAAACATTTTTATTTTTCACAGTAGACACTGAAACATGTCGTATCAAAGGGTGTTAAGGGGTAACAATCACACCAATGATGGCTCATGTTCCATTAAGGGATCGCGGAAAGCCGGTGTGAAGGTCTGCTGTCACATAGGTCGATAATTTACCGCTATTCATTGAAGGACACGATAATTACCCTGTCGTTAACATTTTGACTAGTACCTAAACTGCATGAACCAGTTGGCAGTTTTGTTGTCCTTTTATAGAAGCGTATCTGTGTCTGTTTGCCCTCCAGTGACTGAGATGCTGGTCAACGTTCTGAGCATCTGCTCTGACGACGAACTCATGAACGATGGAGACGAGATCTATGACGGTACGAAGCCGCCAACATTGATTTTTTTAAGGGTAGCTAGCGTTCTTCTTTTCTTCTACGTATCAACTTTCAATAACGTTTCTGCTCCACTCACTTCCAGCCAGTGCAGCGGCAGCGAGGAAAGAGGTGATCAAAAACAAGATCCGAGCCATCGGGAAGATGGCCAAAATGTTCTCCGTTCTAAGGTGGGTCAATTTGCAGTTAAACACGCGTGTGCGCTTGCCTGCACATGCTCGGTTTCCCGCAACTTCTGCAGAAGCTGGCAGTCATCAGATCCTCACTTTTTAAAAGAGATTTTTCTAAAATCTGTCTTTTAAACCACAATCGTGTTTTTTTGCATGTTTGCAGGTGTGCAGTGTGTGAGGAAGTGTGTAATTCTTTCTCTTTATCACCTGCTGTCTTCTTTTACCCACACACATCTGTCACACACACACGCGCACACACACACACACACACACACACACACACTGTCTCTGTTTCTCAGGGAGGAGAGTGAGAACGTCTTGACCCTGAAGGGACTGACCCCGACAGGCATGCTGCCCAGTGGCGTTCTCTCTGGGGGCAAACAGACCCTGCAGAGCGGTGAGCGTTTCATTCACTCACACACACATAAGCACACACACAGTCACATGCACACAAACTTAACCCCGAACTCATATATAGAAACACAATGCCACACAGACAGTTTGAGTATCTGCTTTGGAGCATCCTCCGGTTCCTCCATGCCCTCTCTCCTCTTCTCCTCCTCCTCCAGCTGTTTTTCTCCTCTCATCCTTCTGCCTCACTGACTCACTCCCTCTCTCCACCTCACCTCGCCAGCGCTGAAGGATACTAACAGCCCACTGGTTGCCTGTGTGTGCGAGTGTCAGAGAGAGTGTACGAGCGAGAGGCTGAGAACCTGAGAATGACACCAAAATACAGGGCAAATGCATGTGTGTGTGTGAACTAACAGCAGCTAATGCTAACACCAGGTGCCCTCTGAACCTGCTGTGGTCTCAGTGCTGCTCTGAGGGCTTTGCTTGTTTAAAACCTGAAACATGCCCCTTAGAAGGGGGTGTCTGGTAGTTGGGATATTTAATTAATGCTAATATTGAAATTATATGGATGTTACACATGATATTGATGATACAGAGTCTCTCACTTGTGTATATTTATCATGATGACATCTCCACAGAGCTCTAACGTGAATTTGGCCAACAGAATAGCATGAAGAAAATTTCACGTTCAGCTAAACAAATATTGGTCCAAGCTGGCCGTCAAAAACTGCAATCTTTCACTTCTGCCTTAGTTCATGGTGCTCGTCATAAATGACATAATACCCGTCTGATCTCCCAGGCCAGCGTGAGGTCTCGTTTTATGTTTTATGACTTCCTGTTTGATTTTTGGATCACCCCAAAGTTCTGCCTACACTGTTTTCCAACCAGAGATTGTTTGACAACATTTAGCTCAGCCTGTCGGAGCCTCCTCAGCAAGCGCTGCTCACCCATACGGCAAAGATGTTTACGCATATCTGCACAGAGCATGTTTCAGCCTTCACTTCGTTTTCCTTCTCCTCCTCCTTTCTTTGTACTCCATCTTTCTCTCGGACTCTGTCATCTCCTCTCTCTTCCTGTCCTCCTTTCTTTCTCTTCTTTTGCCCATCCTTCAGCTACCATTGAGGCCATTGAAGCTATCGAGACAGTTAAGGACGCCGAAGGTAAAATCCCACTCATTTCACTGTGTGGGCGCGTGTGTTATATGTGTGTGTGTGTGTGTGCGCGTACGGACGTGTGTGCAGCATGGCTGCGCTCTCAGCCGCCCATGCTCATAAGGTCATAGATATTTCCTTAGACACGATGCACTCAGCTCTTCTAACTGCATCACCGCTCTCAACAAAGCTGCTGCATGCTGGAGCCACCACATTAAAGCACACAACATGCATAAACCTTTCTTTTTCATCCTCTTGGGAAACAGGAAACACATACAGCCATATATTTGCATTCTGTTCAGATGAAACACGCAGAGAATATTTTCTCCACACACACACATTTACAAGAAGAGCGGGAATGTGGGCGGGAGAGGATGTTGCAATGGAGGGCAGGGTCACCCAGACCTCCTCACGGACTGCAGTGTGTTAGTGTTTTTCTATAGTTTCCATAGATGCTGTAGTTCTGTAGAAGATGAGCATGCAATCAATCTGTTTCTCAACAACCTACAGCAGAACTCGGGCCAGATCAAAATTTGCAACATTTGCAATTCGCTGAAGAAACATTTACACTGATCTGCCACAAAACTCGTCTTTTTACTTAGCTTTCAGCCTCCTGCAGCGTATTCACGTGACCTAGATTCAGAATAAAAGTCTTTGCTTACACCAAGAGATGGCAAGAAGGCAAGCTAGTGTGGCTGAAACTTCTGCAAAAAGTTGGGTTTGGAATTATACAGATACAGTTTCCCGCTCAAAACCTTTGCAAAGAAAAAAAGATTAATTTGGCATATGGATGCATTACATTCAGAGGCGGCTGCCAGGTCTGCCAGGTTCTTTTGAGCTCATGAACAGATTGTGGTCATGGATTGTCTTTTGTGTATCATGCCCGGCGTGCACAGGCCCAGTACTCGGCACGCTTCAGTTACCCATACTATTTTGTGTTTGTACCTTTAGTGCTGTCTTTGGCTTACCTGAAGTACAGACCATAATTTGTTTACCCAAATGAATTATGGGTATCGCCTGTGCTGTAGTTTTCTGTCATGTTATATATGATTTGTAGTTGGGTGTTAGACATGTGCTTTGTAGTACAGTGGCATCTGTGAGCAGCTGCATGTGTGACAGTTGTCTTGTGCCGTTGTTGAAGAGTTGGCGTTGGCCTCTCCAGACAGTCCTCCTTATTGGTACAGGAGCATCTGCTGGAACAGAGGTTTACCTGGTCTGGGGTGACAGCTACTACAACGAATCAACCTTAATGCTGGTCGATGTTTTGTCTAATTTAAAGACACACCGTTTAAAGACAACTGAAATAAAGCCAAGTCTACAGCCATGCTAGCTCTGTGAAATGCTTCCACTAGCATGCTAACAGGTTTACGAATGACAGAAGGAACTGTATTAAGCTGAATTAATACGTTTAACTGAAGTCCAGATATGCGTGAATGACTGACTCTTCAGTGCGACAGAACAGACTGTGATAATTTGGATCTGGTGTACTGCTAATGTGTTTGTGTGCTTTGCTAACATTTGACGATTAGCAGTAAATACAATACAAAGCAAAGCTAATGCTACGCGAGCATGAGCAAACATCTGACAAATAATAATAATATTAATAATAGTAATGGTGACTAACTCAAACATAAAACCCATTTAACAGATTTATCAGAGAACACACATAATAAATGTCCGTTCAGTCATTTCCTCATTTGCACCTTTAAAGCATTAGTGTCGGTTGGTATGAAGTTGCAACTCGGATGAAATAAAAACAAAAAGCAGATGCGCATGCTTTTGTTTCATAATGACTCTAAACACTGCTGACTCACCTGTACTGCTTCCCATAAAACCGCCATCTGATAATATCTCGCTGCTCTCTGGAAACCAACTGGTTTCACTTTTTTTTCTGTGTAAAGATTTCTTGAAAAGCACTATAAAAATCCTTTTGCATGGAGGTGCAATCAGCTCTATCTAACTCTCAGCAAATAAATATTCTTCCCAAAATGTTGAAGCACTTCCTGAAATATTTGTCAAGTCCAAAGCGGAGTAAAGAAAATCCTGGTGGTCACTATGACCTGACTAAAATTGGTGGAGTGCTTCTTTAAGATATCAATGCAAGGTTAAAGCTGCCCCCTTAGTCACAAACAAGGAGTACTCCCAAAGCCAAAAGGGAAGAACATGAGGGAAATGGAAAAATGTGACTACATGTCCTTACCTGTAAATTCTGTGAGCTCCTTCTGTATATGATGGTTTGAATGAACAGCTAACTGTCAGAAACTTGCCCCGAGGGGCAAAGACAACTTAAGGTCTTACGAAAGACCGATTGTGCTCATATTGTTTTTCTCATAACATCTTACCAACCACTTTGACCTTAGATTAGCAGTGAGTAATGTCCAGATAAACACCGGTTCATGGGTGGCATAACATCTTTGTAGATATGAATATACGATATGATTTTGTTTATCCAAACCCCAGCTGACCTTCAGCTGAAAAGATTTAGATCAACATGATATAAATGTGGTTACTGGAGAAACTGAGAAAAGATTTACTTCCCAGGCCACACTCATGCTCCTTATCGGGGGGTTTGGATACACAAGATTTTGTGCAATTCTGTGTCAACTTTTAACTGTGCATGTATGTGTGCTTCTGCCTTGGTGTGTGCATGTGTGTGTCTCTGCAGCCATTCGAGGGTTCTCTCCGCAGCATCGGATCAGCAGTTTTGAGGAGGCCAAAGGTCTGGATCGGATCAATGAGAGGATGCCACCGCGTCGCGATGCCGTCAACAGCGTGGGCCTGTCGATGGGCCGCATGAACATGGGAGAGCCCAATGGGACCGACAGCAACAGCAATCTACAGTGATGGACGTACCTGCCCACGTGCCCAGACACACACATCTACAGTTACCACACTGACCTGGTCCCATATTTCATATTATGTGTACATAGGCATATATACAGACAAGAAAAATGCATCACACACACAGACACACACACACACACACAATATTTCCTTTACTAAATAGGTACAGACAACATAAAACCCAATGCAATTACATACACACATCCTGCCCCTTTTCCCGTCGCCATCAGCTGCTATTTAAAGGCATGAGCATACATGGACTTTACCACCAAAGGCTCAATCTCTTCTCTGAACTGATTGGCCCCATTTAGAGAACTACAACTCTCATGTACCTGCACAACCACAGGAAAAGAGTCTCCAAAAATACTCCCCATGCAAAGCACGAGCAGCTACTGTTTGCCTTGTACGGAGGGGGGTGGGGGGATCACCAGCGGGCTGACAGTGACAAGCCTGTGAAGGTGTGCTATTTGTGATGGACGGGGTCAAGTTTAAGGGTTGGTGCAGACGGCAATCGGGGGGGGG